GGAGGATTTTCACCAGGTATTTATTTCTTGCCATTCCTTTGATCCAAAGTATTTTTTTTTGTCATAATTTTCGACCCAAATGTTATATACTAACCACACACATATGGTGCCATAAACGACTTAAGAATGGCATTTGTGTTAAATACACAATTACTATATAAACACGTAATAAGGAATCTCAATGTAGAGCCGCGTGTCAATATAAAAGAAGAAATAGTTTGCGCGCGCAGATGACTAATATTTTTCATTAATCGTTAAAATTAAGACAATTTTATTTGCTTATCTGTAAAAGATAATTCTTAGTTGCCCAACGTAACAAAACGTATCGGCTCGTCCTATTTCTTTGTTTCGTACGGAACTTAATTGGCTCAGGTTGTCAATTAGGAGGCCCCGGAGACTCGTTATCCGCGCAGATAATCAATTTATATTTGAAAAGTATCTTGAAATACGTTAGAACGGGAATAAAAACTGTGTGCATATCTGGTCGGGCCAACAACGCTTTCGTTGCTAAAATAAATGGCTTATCTTTGATGTTTCAGGTGCGTTAAGCATAACGATTATTTCCTCGACATACATATACCTTGACAATACATATGTATATATGGATACAGGATTATTCACGAGCAATGCACCAATTGAAGTTAGTCCCATCCATTCGATTTTCATGCTACAACCAACTTCAGGCGGTGCAGCGCTTTGGAATAATCTTGATGCACTTTTAGGTTGAGTTAGTACGCTTGCCGAAAGAATTATGAGAGCAGAGGAAGAGATTCACGAAGTCCAGTGAATCGAAAGAAAGGGCTATAGTCCGTTTTGCAGATTAGTATAGAACAAAATTGAAAGTTGCATTTGCAATTTAGCAAAATAATACTTTGTATGACTTTTGCTAATTGTCACTTTTCTATCCAAAGGTCAAAGTTCCTTGGTCCTTCCTTCAATCAATCTGCCATCTGATCGACCGAGGTCGCACCATCCCGCTGTCACGTTTCATCGATTTTGCATTTTATTTCGCAATTTTCTTTTTCTCCTCATCCATGCACTCACACGCTTATCGTATCCCAAGAGGAATAACACGAGACGCGGAGTCTGCTGGATACAGGAAAATATTGAGCATCGGTTCTACACGAAGTTCAAGACTCTCGTTTTACTTGGGACCGAGAGAAAAGTTTAGGAACTTTTCAGAGTCGACCTTTCGTTCTTCGTTCCTTGTTTTTGCCCTTTGGACCATTTTTTGTATTACTTCGAGTATACCTAGAACCATAGGGAAATTAGGATTAGAACTTTTTCCGAATAGTCAGACATGGCGATTGATCGACGCTGCTAATGGCTCTCGAATTTTCAACGAAATAAGAGCAACCGGATTTATCTTTTCTATTAGCGATAATTACTTAAAAGTTTTATTAATTATCAGAGACTTTCGTGCTTAAATTCAAGTTTCGCTTGTGCTTTTACGTAATGTACAGTCAGTGCCCTCTTTTCGGCACGCTGTGCCCGGAATGTAAGGAATTGGGTAATTTTATCTTATTGACTTCCGTATATCCCTATTACACATGCATCTGTGTGTATAGACATTAGTTTGGGACTCGCTCAAGGCCATTTATTTACCGGGTACACCTCTTTCAATTTATCACATTTCCGCCTGAGTTTTGACTAATTTAACCTCACCCGCTGTAAACTATTGTACTTTGATTTAAGCTTATCTGCACTTTTTGTATCTCTCCTGTGACAATGATAAGGGCATTATGAAATTCTTATCACGTTGCATAAAGGATATTCGTTTCATAGCGTCTCTCAGAAAAAAAATAATGTCTCGTCAAAGTTATACGTTTACGGCTCGTCCGTTAAGTCGCGACAAAAGGCGAGAGCACGCGAAGATTAAATGTTTCACGTCTTGCGGAAGGCGACGTGCAAGACGACTATCGATATTCTCACGTAAGGAGATACGACATGAAAAACATTGTACAAGGATCCGCGGGTACGGAAAGGAGAGAAAGTTTTATTGAGTCTTCATTGCTGTTACAAAAGATAACGTAAACTAATGAGGGGTAGGGGCTCTCTTCGAATGGGCTTAGTTCGTCTTTTGATCAGTCAATAGAGCCAGTAATGAGAACGTAGGTAATTTTGAAAAAAAAAAGGGAACAACTTTTTGAGTTTTTATCGCGGGTTAACCATAATTATGCGAATCAATGAAATTTCGAAACATTCATACCGGAGAAATCCCCAAGGATAATCTCCAAGGACCTCCTGACCGTCAAACTATTTCCGGCCTTCGATAGTGTTGAAACTCGTGCATTTAACTACGTCCTGCGAAGGAGTAAAGTTTTACGAGTTAGAAAAAGTTGATCGCTTTTCATATCGATCTTGCAATGGAAACTCTGGCATCCATCGATACCTTTTTTTTTTTCTGAAAATCAATTCGAGTAGTATAATGGTACTTGATTATTAAAAAGAAAAAGAAGTAGCTGATCAAGTATCATGCAGAAGTATAGATTTTCAATCTGATCATAAATCGCTGGTGATCGATAAAAGTTGCGAGAAACAGTTGAGCGTAGCAACAGGTGAATAAATGCTAAAAAAATCACAGTTAAAGTAGAACTGATATACAGTCGTAAGTAGAAGGGAGCCTCCGCTGGTTACGTGGGGTCGAAGGCTTAGGGTTAAACGCCAAACGGTTTAGGGTTACGATAGTCGAGGGTCGCCGCGGGTATTGGGTACTGGGTTGCGGGCTGTGGGTTGTGGATGTCTCTGGTGTCTGATGAACTGTGCTTAGGTGGCGTCGACGAGCAACTCCGTGGGGACGAGTCCCACGGGATCTGGGGTACCAGACAGTACCCCCCCGACCGTGCAGAGTGCTGGTGCTAGTCCGCCCCAGTCCTCCGGGAAGTACCTGCACATTAACCTGGGCAACCAGTTCAGGGCTGGAGGCTCGTTGCCCAACGTAAACAACAACACGAACAGCAACAACGCGAAAGATCCCTCTGGGACTTGCGCCGCTATTCACTCGATCGACCTCAAGGTACTAAACTTTCGGCTTCTCATGTTGCTATTGTTGTTGCTGATACTGTTACTGCTGATGTAGTTATTAATGTCAATGTTCATGCTACTGTTATACGTAGCGTTGCTGTCCTTGTTATTATATTCCCCATTGTATACACCCCTCGCACCCCTAGCGATCACGTATTTTCTCTCTGCGTCTCACTTTTCGTTTACCCTTGTACCTCGTGCGATCCTCTAGTTAAAGTCCCCGTACGTTTTACACAGATGGGAAATTCACTTCCGCCGTTCCTTTCGATTACTCGAAGCCTTCCCTGCTTTGCTCCAGTTTCACCTTTCGCCGACGATCCCCTTTGTCGCATTTATACTCCCCTGGCGCCTCTGGCGGATTATAAGGGAACCCAGGCGCACTTCCTCGCCCGATTCCTTCCCCTCAAATCGAACGATCTCCCAGGTACTCTCGTGGCAAATAAACCGAAGAACCCTGAAATCTTGTGTCTTGGTTAAGTAGTTCCCTCCAGCCTCGACCACGCAGTTTGCACCGGCTGCACGCTGACATTACCCTTCTATTCTTTTATTAACTCTTACGTTCAAGTATTTACGACGTAGCGTGAACCTTCCGAAGTGGCCATTATGCCCGTCTAACGTTTTACTCCGGCTCGAATGTCACCCTTATGGAAATTTCCAGCGCCGTGTCCATGATTTATCGCTTATCATTAACACCGTATTTATATTGCGTTATACGGCTCAATATTTTATAGAAAAATATTCCCCAGATTTACGTTCATGCGAGTGCACGAATTTACCTTGCTCGAAATTATTTTGCTTCCGAGCAAAGACTATCGGTACGGGGTTAGTAGGTGCACGCTCAGTGAATTCTGTCGGCGCCACGTGGCGCCTTACCAATTGCTACCACGGAAGTGCTCTTTGTTATCGTGCTTGCTGCTAATCGCAAAGAGAAAAATGTTTTTGTACTCGCTTGGATCGCACTTTCCCACACTGTTCCCAGTATGTTAACGACGGCACGGCCGGAGCATGTTATGATTATAATCGTGTAATAGTCGCCTCTTCATGACAATAAAATGGCGAACGCTATACTAAGGTCTGCCTTTCTTTTTTATTACATTATTTTTTTCTATCCTCCACGATACACACGCGTGGCCTCGTATGCGCCCAAATCGGACCAGCGTCCAAGTGCGGTATGACGACGTATGTGGCGAGAAGCGTCAGGAGCCCCGATAGACTCGTATGTGCTCACGAGACTCGCCCACGCGAGAGAGAAAGACAAAAGACAAAGTAGTTAAACTTACTCGGAATTCCTTTCTGTACTTGTAGCATACAAGGCTGTCTATTCTCCCATATATCCCCTATTACCATTTTTATACACGTGTATCTACATAGCTATTATGCTTGGTATATAATTTTCTTTCTTCCTCCCTCTGGACCTTTGCCCTTGTGAATATTGTTTTCTTTCCTTTTCTTGCCCTTCGCCACTGGCCACGTAATCACTTTGGTTTCTGGCTGTACCACGGAGAAATTCATCGTGCTTCCTTCCGACAGGGCTGCGATGGAATTGAGCGCTCGATGAATTTATATCAGGAACCATAGCTTAAAGTAAAAAGGTAAAGTGCGTTAGATCTTACATGCCGGTCAGGTTATTAATGTTCGTAGTGTCAAGGAAATTTGAAAAATTGTTCCTTCGCCTGACTGTACACACGCTGTAGCCTAAGTTCCTCTATTCTTTTTCTTCGGCCCGCTCAACTTTTGATCTCGGCTCTTTCGTGTCAACGTTATCGCCGAGTTCGTTCTCTGCCGATTGGCCGTCGATACTTGCAATCTAAACGCCATAGCTATTACTCGTATTCTCGCGGCTCACGAGCTCTCGTCTCTTCATTGTTTTTCCCCGAGTTCTTTTTCCTCGGCCCCATAGCCATGCGCACTATTGTCCCTCTTTTTTCGAATTTCACCTACACCCGTCATTCCGTCTCACTCGCGCAGTGCCCCCTGGTACGTCTAGCCGGGAATTCACGAAAACGTAGCGGCGGAGGCCGCTAGGAATTCACGCTTTGATTTACAGTCGGGCTGCTGCTGCTTTGTGCCTTTTTTTTTATACACAAAGCCTTCGCGGCAGCAAAATTCAACCGCTGAGCGATTCTCGCAGTTGCGTTTTGCATAGGCGGGGAAACAGGATCGAACTTTTAGCTTTGATCGGCTCGACGCTACGTATGCGAATCTCGGATACTTTTTGGTTCGAAGATTCGTCAACTGACGTCACTACTTGGGTCTGTCACTTTGATTCGAGAAATCGTCACTCGGTAGAACGAAATTGTATTTTCGCGGTGTATCCTTACCTGAGGATTTCTTTTGTAGATGCAGAGCGAGTGCATGTAGACTTTTTCGCACGGATCATCACCGCCTATAATGATTGATAAAATTCATGAAATCGATCAGTGATAACCAATCATTTTTTTTCATCGACTCGCCCACTCGTCTGTTCAAACAATAACCCCTCACCTTCGTCGGCACAGGCGTTCATCGCGTTCCGGGCTACGTCTTGAAGGTTCTCCGGCAGGAAGCCAATCAAAAGTTCCATCTCGAACTCACCATCGGTATCGACCTATCGATATAAGAAGTAATCGAAGTTGCTTGATCATCAATTACATGCTACCCGAAAGATACTGATATCAAAATATCTTTTTGAAAATTTAACCAATTTTTTTTTTATATTTACCAAACCGAACGATTCCATCAGGCAGTACATGTAACACTTGAGCTTCCGATCGTCCACCAGATCACCATCATTTGCCCTCACGATCATCTCTGGATCAATTCAGTTTATCAATTGACACTGCTCACGGTACAGATCTTGGGTAACTAAATTGCATTACCTTCGTCCGTTCCGTGTTCGTTCATACAGCGTATCTTGTCGTCTTTCACCATATCTGTCATTTCCGGTGTTACCCAATCCGGTAGCTAAATGAATAATAAAAAAAAAATCTTGACTACCGTATTCCTCTATGATACTGCGAAATTCTGATAATCGCAATGACGATTATAGATCAATAGATTTTTGACTTACGTCTGCGTAGATCATCTCGTGCGACACGGCAAGAGCCACCAGGAACAGAAATCTCCGCATCCTAACGTTAAATTCGCTAGACTCCTTACGAATTTCAAACTCATCCGATCGGCCGAGTTACCGTCGTTATAAGTAATTCCCATACGGGATGTGGGTGGCTAAAGGAAGACCTTAATATCATATCGTTAGGTCCTCGTACAATTAGCAACGTAACCCGTAATACAAAGTTGTCAGAATCTGCTATTAACGCGTAACAACGAAAGAGTCCCCGATGCGAATTGCAGCAAGTAGGAAGAATGGCGCGTCACTTAAATACAATGGGCGAGGGGGGAGTCTTAAAAAAATTATCTCGCTCTATAAATATTTTTCTTTCTCTCTCGCTCTGTTTGTAATCTCCGTGTGTAAGTATATATGTATATATACATTATTCCCCCTGAGCGATTGTCATTTCTTATCTTCAATGCCAGAGGACGCATTAAATTGGCATTGTGGAATAGTCGTTACTAACAATCAGCCAGAAATAATTCTTTGATTATGTTGAAACAGCCGGCTCTACAGGTACGTGTTCTATATAGTGTATACGATATATGTCGTTATGCGGACTGCAACGTTTCGTGTATAGCGCATTTACTGCAGCTCGATGCTTCTTGTCGTCGGCAGCCAATTACTTGGCGATTCGTCACGCGATTCACCCTGCGACCCCTGGCGATCGTTTCGTGAAAATATTTAGCTCCAGCTTGTTAAACGGCTGATATTTCGAGACTCACGAAACTAAGAGTTATCGTGATTCCATCGTCTCCATTACTTTCGGACCTTCTTCCTTTATACTTATGTATTATGATTACGGTGTCTTTAAATTGGGATGGAGTTTATCTGTCGATCGATAGTAATCGTTGCGTTTGACGTTTGTCGATTTTATATTTATCGAGGTGTCAACGAATGGCAACTTCAAAGGCCTAGTCCTGGGCTGGAATAAAAATCAGAGATTTCGAATATGCTGTCAACGTAGAAAAGGGAATCGTATACTTTTTAAATTGACAATTCGAAACTTTTTTTTTTAAACCTACAGACTATCCACCATGCACGTTCGGTATATTTTCGTTAGCTTTTATCCTGGCTGTACGTAGACTTTGTCAAAGCTGTACAAAGATTCTTATGGAAGAGTTACTTGACTCTTGTCTGCCTGTTTTGGCTACCCGAGTACGCAGCACGTCCAAAGAACATCTTAGAGACGGCCTCAAGATGTTTTTGGGCTTTTTGAGTACGATTAAGCGGGATCGAGCAAGGATTGAATAAAAAATTTTTGTTCAACGTTACAAATTTTTTTTTTTTCAAAATCTACGATTGCCGTATTTTTAAGAAATTTGATTCGTCCCATAGCTAGTTGCGCGTCGTCTACTCGCTTGTTTGTGCACTTATTCCTATATGCGTAATTAACAGGAGTTATTGGGGAATCTGGCGGAACGACATTACGCTGCTTGCTCGTACAGCTGTAATCGAGAACGCGCCCATCGTCGTTCTACGCGAATCCAGCCTCTCGCAGCTTCCGCAAGTGTCGCGACTTTGCCATTGGAATTCGCGAACGGAGAGCCATGCGCACGGTGGACTCTGTAGCAAGACGCAGATTTTCCATCTACCCATAATTGTGCATGCTATTGTGAATCTAGTGAAATTCGAAGATTCAGTGCGAGTTGCGCAAAGATACGCGAGACGATACCGTCTGATCCGTCGGAGCGTGGACTTTCCGTGTAAAAAATAATGGGGCGGCAAAGTATAATTGTTTTGTCAGATAGGTTCGTAATACTGATAGCGAAGGCAGTTACGCGTCATTATGCACCAGACTGCATGCGCTACGTATGTATCCATGAGGCTGACAGAGTCAAGGTCGTCTTCCGATCTAGAGAAATGCATATTGAATCTGTATCGGGGTATTGTCTTATTTGTTGCTGTTATTATTAACTTTGCGACGTTGCCGAGACTCCCTGCTACTTATTTATTTCCCTCGATTCAGTCAATTAACGCTGCCTGTGTCTCTGTACTCAAATTTGTCGGGGCGCCTGGCGCTGGGATCGATTCAAATTCCTGGATTGGAGCTTGTTCTTCCTGCCCCGGATGCAGCTCCACGCTGATGCATTCGCTGTATATACGTATCTACGTATCATGTATCTACATACCTGCCTAGCCATCTAGTTACCTAGTTACCTACCTTTATATATGTATCTAGCAAGCTGGCCAACATCGTTTATGCAGCAAATAGCTGGAGACTCGCTGGAGACTCTTTTTCCCTTGCTGTACGATAATGATGCGAGGCTCCTTTGTTTCCCCGGGATTCGTACTTTTGTTTGGAAACAACATCTCTGCTCGGTAGCTGCTTTTACTATTGAATGAGAATCTCAGGTGATTATATGAAAATAATCCAAACCGTCGACCCGTCGCTGTTTTCCTATTGCAATCTCCAAGATTTCAAACTTATCGATCTAGCCTCGATCTTACGTTGAGGCTCTGCGGGTGACGTATTTCCAAAATCTGTATAACCTTATCACTAAATGCATAACGGGCCAGTCCGGTGCTCACCTTTGCTTAGTAGGCACTGATAGGCTAACTGAAGTTGCAGCTGTGATACTAGTTAGTAGTCTATTAATCGGTCTGCCGATCGAACGTTCTTAAGCTAAATAGCCCACTTATACCTGTAATTAATTAATGACCGCCCATCGATCGTCTGTAGATGCCTGCGAATCTATCGAGGGAATCTTATTTCTATCCATGGGACGTAGACGTATGTGTTTTGTGAATACGCGTGCTCCTGCCGTCTCCTTTGTTTCGTTCGAATATAAAGACTATGTAAAAGTCGGGTAAACTTTCGTTATTTCGTCGGGCCTAATTTTTGACAGTGCATTGGAATGTGATATGGAAATTTAGATTCGTGATAAGTCATTTTGAAAATATACGGATCACGCGGAATGTCGTAAAATTCATTTTCTATGGAATCAAAGAAATTTCGTTTCATCATCTATAGCCCTCTATTCCATCTCCTGTTCTTTCGTACGGAGGGCAGAGGCGGGTACGAAATTCATTTGACTAAAATTTCATCTGTCTCGGCTGGCACAATGTAATTGGTGCAAATGTTCGTTTCATTCGAGCAGCTGCTATTCGTATGATTTGGTGAGTGGAGAAGTGGGATAGAATTCGTGTTTGTACGATACGATGTGTGTATGGCTGTTTGTAGGATTTTATGGAAAGGATATACATGTGTATGGATGACGATGTGTAACAGGTTCGAGATTAAATTGAGGCAATATCAAGTCGATTATACGAAATGAATTATTCCAGGTAAATGCAATACGTGAAATAGTTACTGAGCTGTTTATTTCCAATTTTAATATTTTAATAATTATTATATTATATATTATAATATCGATTTTAATATTTTTATATACTGTTCCGAAACGATATTTTTTTTATTTGACAAATCGTTAAGGCCAATCACGTTGGTTAATACTACTAACGATAAGTACGTGGTGGCAGATCAATGAGTCAAGGATTGAATTTTCTTTTATGAAATCATCGATTATGATAAATATGGTAATTAATTTTTATTTCTATGACCATCGACTCCTTTAATGAATTCTAATGTTCCGCTATGATCTTGACTGGAGCTCCCATAGAATCTTTCACATCGTAGCTCAGAAGAAAAACAACGAGAGCACGTGCTTCGACTCGTGTACTCGCACCGCGAGTATTGATCGTGTCCGTAGGTACACTCGTTTGCCGCTTCCGTTCCAAGTAAGCCGATGAAATCTGCCCTCCGCATTGCGTTCGGCATTTTGCAAAGTAGAAATCGTAAACTGAAATATTTTCAATAACAAATCAATTTTTAACTACAGTAAGTATATATTCGATTCGAAGAGAAAATAGTTTAAAAACAAAAAATCGATATATTTTCATCTGAAATTCCGATCTCGATACTGTAATCAAATCGGAGTATATTTGAATAAGAAATCGGGTCGAGTCAGTCATCTGACCTTGTACAGAAAGCTTGAGGTCAAGTACCCCTTGGAGCTCTTAGGATTTCCGACCCCCTTCACGGCAGTTATATCCGCTCCATCCGGAATATCGATGGAGCCGATAGCACAGCGAGTGCAGCAAATTTCGCTAATCTTGAAATTATTCAAAGATGAGAAGCGACCTAAAATAAAAGAGGGGACTAAATGGTACAAATTTCTTTTGGTCGTTTTGCTAAAAATTAAAAAATATCTCAAACCTCCTTGGCTGCTCTCGACTGAAATTTCCAAAGTATAGGTAAATATGTTATAAGTGAGAGGAAAATTGTATCCAAGGCTTCCGGAGTGTATTTGACAAAGCGAACGGTCCAGAATTGTCAAGTGCACAGGCAGGTCAATGAATCGCAGAGTGTATTGAGAAGAATCGATCGATCGGTCATCACTCGCCAGGTCGACGAGCCCCAAGTCCTTCAGGCCGAGAGGGCAGGGTGGCCGTGCAGCCGCGAGATCGGCAGCCTGTCAATATATACCGTTGACGCATGCGAGCCTGCAAGAATAGCTGCTAGTGGAAGAAGCCCCCGGCACTCGTGACTATTTGGTGAATGGCGAAGAGTCACGGAAATAGGTCGCTCTGCGCGGCGCCTGGTCGACTTGGCCCCACGCTCCGTGGGGCTGCGGAATACGTCTCGAGGCGACGGCAGGCATCGCGACGCCGGGACTGTGGGTGGTCGAGCGAACTTGCGCGAATACATAGAACTGGGAAGGCTGTCGATCGGTTCCCGACCTCTCCAACTTCTTCCGCCTTATTCTCGCCATTCACGTCCGTCATCTTTTTACTTCGTCCACCAGATAGAGCTACTGCTGCGCTCCTATTATCGCGTCATGGATTCTCATCGAATTTACCATCCTGCCCATCATTTTCATCTCGGCATGTAAAATTATTCCCGGATTCATTGCCGTTTGCATTTAATGGGATTTCTTTCCTAATGACGTCACCGATTCTCTGATCCCCCCCTCTCAACGTCTTATTTATGGCGCTCGAATTTGAATACAATCACGTGGACACACGCACCGCGAGCTTTTGTGCCTGTGCTTTATATGGCGATCGCACCGTTTCCTTCTGCAGCCGACAGTCGCTCCTTCTAATCCCTCTCTAAGCCTCCGTCAATGTCCGTCCGTCAGTGTCCGCCCCAGTGAATTCATATTGTGACTAATATTGCGGGCCGCTGGCATATAAATGGAGAAATCTTAAGCCTCGATTGGAAGCAGAGAAATGTAGTCCCATTCGATTTCCCATTCTATTCTTCTAACGCACGCTATATATCTATATGACCTTTGCCAAAGGCGTTATAATGTATTTCCAAAAACAAGACGCATCTCCCGAAAAAATCTTCTCGAAGGATTGTTTAGAACGATTCTAATTAATTAGCCATGATGAATAGTCCAGACAGGTGCAGCGCCGCCTGGCCAAATAGTACGTGATCACTTTACTGATATTCTGGCCAATAATTTCTTTTCTCCAACCCACATGCGAAGCTACGTAAAGCCGCAGGGGTTTCCCTTTGTTCCCGTCGCGCTTGCACGTGAATTCCCATAGAGACGGACGAATGGTACCTCGGCAATACCTTCCATGTAATCGCATAGCATGGAAATGAGTATTATTAATTGAAAGGGATGAGAATTTTTATTTATTCAATTTTGAATTTTCAACACGCCACCCTTTCAATGCCGATCGTTCACGCTTCGATGCGACTCCCACGATTTTTCGACCAACCGAACCCTCGTAAACATCCACCAGCCGGATGACATTGAGAAAATCATCAATGGAAATCATCACTCGCATACTCGATAAACCTCGCCTCTGGGATTCTCAGTGCGTAACCGCACGGGACGCCGTTCGTCTTTCGAAATCGCCAGTCGATGCCTCCACACGTGTCTCTCCCGCTATACCTCGAATTACAAATACCCTTAATGTCGACCCTCTTCCAGCATTCCTCAATGGTGTTGCGATACACGACCAACTTCACGTGGAGCGGCGACTAATTATTCCCGCCTGTTTCGTCACCTCAAGTTCATCGATCGGTCAGAGGTCTAGGACGGGCCTGTCTTCGCCCGTATAGGTTCACCTATGAACTATGGAAATTTCGTCGTAATCACCCCCCCATAAATTATCTAAGGTGATAACGACAAGACAATTATGATTATGATTATTTTTCAATCGAGTGACCTCGTTATCTCGTAAAACAGTACAGGAATCTTCGGTGCTATATCACGAGAGCACCACGCAAAGTGCGGAAGCTTTTTTGGGTTCCCACCAAAGCGACCATCGGCGACTTGCGCAAGTCGCCTGTTGAAAGTGGCGTAACAGGCAGATGCCCTCTTGGTCATTACAGAGCGATTTCGCAAGGAGAATGCTAAATAGGAAGCGAGGAGTCACTCGATCCTCGTCCGCGGGGCGTACGCACTGGTGCGCGCATCCGTGCGCCGTCGTACCTGGCGACGTCGCAGTAGAGCGAAGTGCGCGAAGGGCAGGATGCGAACCGGGAGCCCGTGAATCCCGGCGGCAGTGTTTACGTCCATCCACCTCCGCCGCCTCTGGATCCTCCCGGCGGAGGATGTCGAAAGAGACGCTGAAAGAGGAGCCCGAGCCGCGCGGCAGAGAAGGCGAATAAGGCCGTCGTCGAAACGCTTAGAAGTAACGGCCGTCCACAGTGAATCAAGTTTTCCTTGAACCTTGTGCCACAGAGTTGCGAGAATGTATTATAATTAATAATTCGCTGGCATCGAGCGTCTCGATTCGCCGTTCTATCGATCCTTTCGACAGCTTTATTTATCACGTTTGTCGTATGGCTCTCTGGTCCCCGCGTGTAAGGTCTTCGATCTTAGGCATTTCTTTTTAATCGCCACCCCGTATATCTTTTGAGGGAAGCGAGAGACTCTTTTCGTAGGCACCGTCAGGGTTAAAAATAAGGAAGATACGAATGAGAGCCAGCCTTCTTCTTGTGTATACTTTGAGTCTTAATGATTTTAGTTATATCACGCAACTGTCTTGTATTACGCACGAATGCTATAGTAATGCAATCTGCAACCTTTGATTCGCTGCACACCAATGCAGCGGCAGTTTCGTCCAAGTTATGCGGCTGCTTCGGGCAGAGATACCAGTAAACCTTGAGTTTACGACTCTCCGAGGAATCGTTCGGTTTTCACCGGGTCTATCGACGTTTCGGTAAAAACTTCCGAAGACCCAGCCCCTACTCCGGGCAGCCCGGAGCGTGGAAAAGTTAGGAGCTGCGACTTTACACGTAGACGCGCGATCCACCGGGACAGCGTGGACGCCATTCATAGGTGTGCGCATGTGGAAAGGAGCGTTCGCACGGTCGCGCTTGTTTTTTTACTCGCGCTTACAGACCCATTCACATGGCCGCCAATCTCAGTCGCGATGACACTCTAATTTGCGTCGCGACGACACACGCGCGCTTTACATATTTACGCGTAATTTATAACACCTCGTGCACTCATACGAAATCGCCTTGGGAGAATACTCGAGTCTTGTGTCTTATAGGCCGATAGGCTGAGCTGTCGGCCACGCACGGTGCTGGTAGCCGAGTGTGAAAATTTGTTCGCCAAATGAGAACCGGCCGAACGAAGGATTTCAGGAAGTCATTGTATTTCAATGTGTTTAGATTTTTTTTTTTTTCGAGACTAACGAACGTTGCGAAAGCCACGATAGATATGCGAGTCACCCGTTATATCGTATGTAAAAACTCACGGCTATTCGCAGCTACCGAAATTATGGCAGATTCTCGTGGCCGTACACCTGGGATATTTATTAACCTGCCGCTAAGACTTTTTCAGGATATATAGACGAACCTCTATGAAAAATGACTCTCCTTTGTTTCTCAACGAATACCAGCTGCGGGGACGTGGGAGAAAAAGTGGCTGCATACGAGGGCGGATCCGCAGATCCTGCAGTCCACACAGGATTCGTCCGGCGATCGACGGGAGGCACTGATCGAGCGCTCGCATTAAGCTTCTTTATCGCGTTTAGATCGATGAGTCACGGGGCGCGCTGCGACAATGAAAAAGTTGCAGCGGCTGCTGCCGGTAGTCTTCATGAAAACGCAGATTTACTCGTTTACAATATCTTTTCTCATAAGCATGACACTCGTTCTTATGCACGGCCTAGTTCTGTGTTATATTTTTAGAATGGAAAATTTAGTCGTTATAAATTTCGTTACTGCATATATATATATATATATTAGATTGATTCTGAGCTTAGTGTAGATCCATGCGAATGCGCCCCAAGCGTCAAATTTGGATCCCTTGAATCACATGTAATTCTTCTTCCTCAGACTTCACTCAGTAAGCTGGAAGAGATACAGCAGAACGCCATGACGTATCGAGGAACCGAACGCGGTCGTAGCATGGGGGTGGGTCCCGTGCGATCTCGGCCCACGGAAAAGCGACACGACACGTCCCCGTACAGCGGGGTGCCTTATCTGTCGCCACCACAGTCAGATACCTGGAGAAGAACGAACTCCGATTCTGCTCTGCATCAGAGTGCAAACGAAGCCTGTCAGTCCACTTCGGCGATGCCTCATCGAAGAGGTAGCGATGCATGTCGGTTTCGATTTTATTTATATTTCTCTCATCATCACCAATTTTCATTTTAGCCACACGAAAAATCGCTTCGACCTCATTTCTTTGACCTGTCTCGAGAATTGACCGGACGTTATTTCCTGTGCATAATCTCCTGTGAAATTTATCGACTAAATTCCTCGAGTTTGACCGATATTAATTTTTTTATTCTTTTCTAAATTTACGCAGGACTTTGACTTTACCGACGGACACCCTCGAGACTTTCCTTATCGTCCGCACGCATGTCTCATCGCACCTTCGTTATTTTTAACTGAAATTCGTTGTCAATTGTTTCGTGATCTTTTCCCGTTTCAATTGCACAGATCAACACGCGATGAGTGGTACGGTAAACGAGCACAGAGAGTCACATCACGGGTTTATCGAACGACCAAGATCTTCCTGCGAAATGCCTAGAGTGCCTGGTATCAAGTACGTATCGGATGGATTTGAATGGGTGGCGGGGAGGTGCTTTCTTTGAGAATCTTTCGAAATTTGGCTAAACGAAACTCCCTACGAGACAGACTGGTTAATGCTGTTGTTATGTGTATCCGATCTAGTATATATCTCAGCTCACAGCCACCGGGACAGCAAGTACCGATCGGCAACAATACAGGCTCCTTGCCAGATCTGAGCAACGTTCACTTTCCTTCGCCACTGCACACGCCTCTCGACCAGGAGGACCATTCGAGCAGTACGCAGTACAGCAATGTAAGTCGGCTGATTAGTCTTTGTACTAATTGTCATTTTGACAGCTATTTCACATAACTGCACGACCATACCGTTATAAATGGATCCCCTGACACGAGCCTGACCCGGGATAACTTTTACCCGTCATTTGTCATCTTCGCTGCCAATGCCCATTTCGAGTCACCGTTTCACGAGATCGAGGAGATACCAGCAAAGAGAAGAAAGGGGAACGAGGGGAACAGGCTGATTTTGAATTTAAAAAAATTTCTCAAAATCTCACCTCAAATTCCTTCTGTCACTTGGTTATTTTCCTTTTTTTTTTCAAATTCTTGTCGTTCGAATGCTCCATCTCAATCATATCTAATACGTGTGTGCGTGTGAGTGTGCACGTGTCTCTTCAAAGATCGTACGGATTTAAATGGGAGTTTTGAAATGCTCTACCGGGTGTATTCCAGAGTCCTCAAACGAGCAGTCCTACGACCCTGTCGCCGACCAGCTTAGCGCAAGCTGGTAGGCTATCTTTTTCACAGGATCACAGCCCGCCAAGCCCCCAAGTAAATATCCTTGCGATCCTTTAATAATCTAGACTCCGGAGCCACGTAGGCACTCTGTACGAATCCGATTATAAGTTCCGGGTGGACGAGAATTCCTGAAGAAATCACACGAACTCTTATTACGACTCGGCATTCTTTCTTAGTTCTCGTAAACAGCGCCAACGAAATTCTCACTCGATACGTACAGAGTGCTCGGTGGGCACGAGTAGTTTTCGAAGACAGTAGAATAAAGTAATGAGTAGTCGTCTGCATGACTCGAATTATCAGTGATCCATTTGATCCTTGCCTTGAAGTCTCTCGGACGTGCTCCTATTTCTTTTTTGCTTTTCTTACCCTCGACCCTCGTGGCGTCTCGCGTCCTTTCGCTGATCTTTCGAATGCAGGAAATTGATACGAGTCACTTTCGAACCTTAATGGGACCTAGGACTAAAGTCTCTTTTTTCTCGTATAATTTTGCATCTCAGCCACTATCGTACTCCATACCGCTGTGTACTAATACTTCCTGAAACATTAATAAGGTGGAGAGCCTCGAAGCCATTCTCATCGTTTTGACACGCTTAACGCTTATTTTAATTTATCTTTTATTTTATTTTGCCTTTGCTGTAGTGGTTCTTTGTTTTTTGTTATTTTGCAGAACCATTTATCAGTGCCTGTTAACTCTAGGTTCCTTCACACGTGTAAGGTTAGTGATTACACTTCTTTTCACCTAGCCGTTAGATCGTTTCGCTTCTCCTCGCCAGAAGCCTAGAGGGTTCGTCGCGTGTAACGCATCGTGCAAGATTTCCGAGTAGCCCTCGTTATTAGCTTTCCATTTTTGTCTCGGCATTCCCCGATCCCGCATTCGAACGTAAATCGAACCCGAGCTAAGAGACACCGCGATCATCTTCGTCCACTTTGTTAATGTAGACGGAGACCTTTGAAAATTGTCTAGATACTTTTTGCATTGGCTATGACGAATCTGATCGTGGTTGTTCTTTGTGGAATTGATGCGTGGATTCGAATCGATTGGCCTGCGAGGATTGGTCCACGTTGAGGAATATGAAAATTTTCATCGTGATCAATAACTAATATTATTGGGTATGAAGCAGGGTGTCGCGCTGGATAACAGCACAAGTACTTCGCAACAGGATCTTCAGTCATATTCACAACCACCTCCGCCCTCGGCGGCATCTCACACTCCTCAACACTTCATTTATCAGCAACTGCAGAGCCCAGTGCCGCCGCAAAGTCCGGTAAGTTTTCGAAATTGAATTTCCTATGATTTCGAATTACTTTTCATGTCGATTATTTCGTTCGCAGAAAACGTCACAGTCGCAGCAGCAGCAGCACCACCAGCATCAGCATCAGCAGCACCATCATCATCAGCAACAGCTCAACTCTTTGGGCTCGTATAGGAGCTCACAGACAGTCAACAGGCCGTCGCCGCAATCATCACCGAGTCTCACAGTTCAGGTATTGCATTTTAATTTGAAATTTTGTATTATGTAATCGTTATGGTCGAGCGCGTTGCTAATACTTTTTACTTTCCAGGGAAGTCCCTTGAGTTATAGCAATAACCCATCGGCACCACAGAGTCCTACGGGACACCCGGGACTACCGAGCTTCCCCACGGAAAATATGGATCAGAATAATTATTTCATTAACCAAAACGCCGCGGCACTTCAGCAACACTTCGAACAGTTCTCAATGGTTAGTCAAATGCGAATAAGCATAAGCACGAAGCAGTCTTGATCCGGCGGATAATGCGCGGCGATATTGCAAAAAGTTATTCAGGGCAAAATGCGCTGTGTGAGTAAAATCATAGTATTTTCCCATGACGCGTTAACAATGAAATTCACGATATGTCCTCGATTCGTGCAAATAACGTTTAGTTCTTCTTTTTTTCTATTTACGTTGCTGCGCACTATCCGTCCGATTCCACAGTTGTACAGTTTTCAGTAGCCTTGACAACACGATATTGCAACTATAGAGTGTAGATTTTTAATAGTCCTACGATTTTGCGTTTATGCATATCAAGGCAGGGGTGAGTATAATACATTCGTCAATAATAGCACCGGCGAGATACGCCGCGTTCGAATACACCTACTTAACGCGAAGCCGCGATTACACGTGCAAATTTGACAGTCGTTACTCCGATAGTTTGAAGAAAAGAAAAAAAAAAAGAGAGATTCCTTCTTTAATATTTCGCGTATAGAAACCGTTAGGTGGACAAGCTCTCCAAGCGTGTACGCATGTGTCAGCATTTTTTCCACTTCACATTGGAAGAATATGTAAGTAGCATAGTGCCCCTCTCGCTCTCTCTCTCTCTCTCATTCTAGATTCCGCATAATTTTAATGGCATATAGCGAATTCAGATGTACATGAATTAAAAACCGTCACCAAGTGAGCGTTAATAGTAAAAAGTAAGAAAAACGTATCTCTCGGATTATTCTAACGAAGATAAACCGGCAATGGACCTGTATCGATGCAGAGAGACTCGCGTGTCAAAGGCAGAAAATAATCATGTTACGCGATTACGTCGACAGAGAAATCGTGCGTTTCACATTTTCTTTCTCTCTGTCTTCCATAATCATTCAGTAGCCTAAGTGCACCTATGTTAAACCGCCTTAATTGGAAGTAGCGAAAGGCAGTGCTAAAGAATACGCGTCTCGAAGTTCCAGGATGTAAAAGAGATGGTATTAGAAAAAAAGTATAAAAAAAAAAAATTTAATTCATAGCTAACCTTCAATTGAACTGAAATGTCTAAAGGTATTACTCTTTATTTGTTACCTGCCTTCGTTAGGACTGGGCACAAATGATACAGCAGCTCATGGAGTCTGGCTACACCTGGACCTCGCAGTTAGAGGTGATGAGACACTACCCCGTATACATAGGAAGTATCGGTTATCCTGATTGGCCGATAGCGAAACGTCCCTTGGGAAAAGTGAATTTTCCTACCCCCATTGTCCCTCGTTTGATTTTGAGAACCGAACAGCGAATGGCAATTAGTCGAAATTTTCTCTCTTTACTCTTGAAAAAATTATCTGTAGCACTGACAATCGCCGTTCGATATCTCGCTGTACGTATTTCTCTATAGAATGATTTTCTCTTCCTAGGCGCTTCTCCTCTTCTTTCCGTTTCTTCGTTGATTTCTGTCAGAGACCAGAGGAAATGTTGGCATGCACGCGACAGCTGCTAATTAGGCATTCGTAATAAGCGAATGAACGCTATTCATTTCTTACGTTATTTCTCTTATTATCCAGCCGACAATCAGTAATAATAGCGAACGATCCTCGAGATGCCTTTGGAATAATCATTTCACGCCTTTTGCTCTAGATGGACTCACCAGTGGCGCCGACCACGATCGACGCCTACATCGGTTCACCAAATCATACGGGAAATTACACGCAAGTAAGTTTCAGGCTGTCCAATAATATAGCCAGACTCCGTTCACACGCTAATGACTTACCACTCTCGTGCTTCTATTCTCTCAGAGCGACATGATAAATGTTGGCGGCGAAATGGGCAGCGGGGATGGCGGTTACTACAGCACGAGTCCGCAATTGGCCTTTCAACCGAGGACACCCACTACGACCCAGCAACTCACGCCACAAACCCCAAACACCCCTACGATCATACTCACCGGTCAGTAAATGAGATGTTTATCTCTTTTTCTCTTTCTCTGTTACTTGGGGATGCTGCCTGTTGCCGACGTCTCTGACATCCCTTGATTTTATTCCTCGCTCTAGATTTCTCCTCGGGGACGGATGATCTAACGAGCCCTGAATTTGGAAAGGAGAGTGGATCGGCGATAACGAGCGACTTCGATCCTGATTTATTTCCATCGGACGACGCCCTCAGACAAGGACTTGGGCATATCGATCTCGACGGACTCCAGATGCTCGCTGATCCTGACATGGTGCTATCGGACTCTGCCGCCGAAGCCCACTTTAGGTTAGATCGACTCTAAGGACAAAAGAAGATTTTACTCAGCTCGCGATATCGCGCGTCGACTTTAGAATAATGCTAATTCTGTCCTGGTGTCGCGGTTACTTCTAAAGACACTACGCCAAATGGCGGAATGCTCCTTGGACGTGGACGTGTTTCCAGTGAGTCGTTTGATTATACATTGTTATTACTACCGGTCGGTTTTCAATCAGGATTTCATTGATTACGGTGCTCGTTAGTTTTTGCTTGTTCCTTTCTCTCTCTTTTTTTTTTTTCGTTTCTCGTCATACCCAAATATTTCTAACGGATGACATAAGTTTTACTAAAGATTTTTTATTACGATGACAAATTACGATTATAGGTAATAACAATTTTGTGGGTCGTGCAATAGTGGCAGTCGTGACGATCATTCTATTCTTGTTCGGTATAGCGATCACGATCGATCTAGTCTCACCACGGGCACTCCGAATTTTGCATTTAAGCCATTCAGAAAGAGACGTTGGTCCGAGGAAACGTTTATATATTGGAAATACCTCCTCGCTCTCGGAGGGCCCCGTACGTGATAAAAAAAGAAACCTTAAATTGATGATTAAGTACTACTACAAATCTTGATTAACCCATATACATATATATTTTTTTTTATTTTATACTACTTTGTATATTGTATCATGTATGATCTCTAAGATGCACAAAACGAAATGTTTACTGATTTATACATGCTTTTGTCATACGCGGATCCTAGTAACTTAACGGATCGTTGGATTTATTAATATTACGAGGACGTGGTTCGACGGTGTGTCCCTCCTTTTGAAAAAGGCGGAGGGAGACATCGCGAATACACACAGTTCATAATAAAGACACAGAACACAATACCGGACATACCAGAGGGTGCTTATTGTACGTACTGTCACTCGGAGGGAGGATAGTGCTTTTTCTTTTTTCTTTGAGAATGTTCGACAGATTACGAGGGTCGTTCAATATTTCTTTAATTAATACTATTACTAGCAAGATTTAAAATTATATTCTTCTTTCGTACATGTGGATTCTCGGGCACACTTCAGGATTCACTTACTACCTACTAAGGCACTTATGCGTTAAGAGACTTTGCATGTGTACAAAAATGGAAAAGGGAAGGAACGAAAAATTTGGGCCCCGTGTCTTGAGTCAGGGCCGTACAATACCCACGAGCGAGAATATTTATCTGTGACAAGCCATTTTAAGGAGCTCAATTCCGGCACGCTGAAAATATCGAATTTTCACTTCTGATACAGAATAAAAATCAGCGACTCCTTACGATTATTGTAATCGGATTCATCGGATGTACATATATATCGTCATAGAAAATAGAAATTTATGAGCAACAAGTCAGCGACCGCTGTTTCCATGAAAAGCCAATCGCGCGAGAAATTCACTGGCGGGACGACATGGTCCGAATACCAATACGATTTTTACTGCACAATGTTGCACTTATAATTCTGTTCTTGTTTGTTTTTTATTTTAAAACGGAAGAAACAGTGCTCGCTGTGCTTTGTCGCGTTGTTACTGTGTATCAACTGTGTATCATAGTAGCGATAATTGAAGGCCAATTCGCCGTTTTTTCAACCACGTTTCCCTATTGACAGATGTCTAATTCTCTTCGGTTTGTATGTATACGTCTCTCACCGTAAGCGCGGCCTTCGAATAAGACAAGACAAGAGAAGAAGAGAAATGGAAATTCACGAAGAGTAGAGAGAGAGAGAGAGAGAGAGAGAGA